TATCCGTACACGATCACGCAAACCAAACACTCAAACACCGACGTCTTCTCTCTTCGGGTACCCACAATTATATTCAAAACTTCCGTGTTTCCGCAAAATAACAAAAAAAACAGGACGGCGACAAACTTCTTAAACTTTTCAAAAATTCTTCTTAAACGGCAAACAAAAATTCTAATTAAACCTGGATCCACTACGCAAGAAACTTCCACAAAATTCAAAAAAATAACGTAACCGAAGAAGCGCCGGTTGGCTTTGTAACGACCAAAAAAGCCCCGCTCTCTTCAAAAATTTTCTATTTAAGCCAAAAGCCCTTCTCCTTTCTTCAACATCCCGCCCGCCAATCACGCGAAGCGTCGATTTTTCAACTTCTTGCTAAACGGCACGTACGCCCGGCAATTCTGCGAAGACAACCTTATCTCTACTTCGCGCTATACCTCGTTAACGGCAAATAAAATTTAAAAAGAAATTTACCTCGAAAAAAATTCTAGGAATAAAATAAAAAACAGAACACTTCTAAGAAATTGAACCAAAACTATAACATGAAATTTACGCAATCCTGTGTCTCAAATTATTAATAACCCCCCCGGTTAATTAATTGAACTAAACAAATTTGTCACATCCAGACGCTCTATAATTTCTTTCAAGTTACAACTAAAACAAAATAACACAACAATAGGTACGGCACAAAAAAATCAATAGTTGGAAACTGTTGGTTTCAACAGGATGGTGCACCCGCACACAACGCTCTAATCGTGCGAAAATACCTATTGGACACATTTTTCATTTTCCAAGTCCCAAAATGTGTTTCTTTTTAAATTTTTTCCCAGTAACCATAATAAATAAGATGGCATTAATGACAATATGTACCTTTTAAAAAGTGAGACAGAAATTCCAACTGTAATTCTAAGTGGGAAAGAATGATTAGACCTTCCAGAAATTTGGTGTGTACACTCTGTGATTTAAGAACAATGCCGAACAGTTTTTTCATTCAACAAAACATGCATACATTCAAATAACAAGCATAAATTGGCACAAATCTTGTGCAGATAAAACGCA